TACGTCTGCCAAGGCCCAGCAGTTCCCTCATGAAACCACATTTAAATTAGCTAGATCTGGATTTTTATGTGGATCTTCACCAAATTGCACACACTCATAAATTTCAGTCTTCTTAATATGCCTATTTTTTCATCATGATCCATTATTTATTCTCTGAGGATCTGATGAAAATATCAGAAGAAAAGAGAGGGGAAAAAATGCTCTTGCATCATTCAAGAAAATCCTGTATCTTATACTTTGTCTGCATTCAGGCCAAAATGTACTCTCTTCTTTCTTGGCACATGTCCCGTCCTTTCACCAAGTTTCCACAAACAAACAAACTAATGGCCAGGGGTGAAAACCCTTACTTACTGTCTAAGGTTTAAAACATAACCTACTGGCCAGAGGTAATAATCTATTTCCTTTACGAGCCCTCAGTCACTTTTTCTTTCTTCCCTTCACATTACTTTTACTTCTGCTTACAAGAATTTTCTCTTCCGTGTGATTCACTGTTATTCTCTCTCTTCTCCCTCTCGTTCCCCAGACGGCATTGGTGTGAAGCGCGATTACAAACAGGCTCTCAAGTTCTTCAACTTGGCCTCGCAGGCGGGCCACATCCTGGCCTTCTACAATTTGGCCCAGATGCACGCCACTGGCACAGGTGTGATGCGCTCCTGCCACACTGCTGTGGAGGTGAGCCACCGTGGGGCCGCTGCTCCTTTTCTCTTCATTATGTCAAAATGAGTAGAGATTGAAAGCGTCTCTCTGCCAATTACTGAGCTCTTAATTTGAGTCGAACAGTTCAAATATATTCTAGTCCTGTTCCAGTGTTTACACTCTTACAGTATTGCCAGTTGGACACTGATTTAATCAGAAGTCACAATCCTCAGAAGCATGCCTGGTTGTTTGGGTTGTCAGACTTTGTGCCTGTGTCTTTGCTGCAGCTTTTCAAGAACGTGTGTGAGCGCGGCCGCTGGTCAGAGCGTCTGATGACGGCCTACGGCAGCTTCAAGGAGGGCGAGTCCGATGCAGCACTGGTGCAGTATCTGCTACTGGCCGAGCAGGGCTATGAGGTGGCCCAGAGCAACGTGGCCTTCATTCTGGACCAGAGTAAGAGAAACAATGACATTTTCATCTTGACTGGAAGGAAAGAAAGTGTTTAAGTGTTAAGTTCAATCAGGTTCAAATAACAGTGTGGAAGAGAGTAATCTTTCTTACTCTGCTGTGTGACTTTTGGATGATTCAACACATTTTATGATAGAATTTACACATACACATTAATTAACAAACAAAAGAAAAACTGATTCAACTTATTGCTCCTGTGTCTTAATGATGAACATTTTCCAGATTACTGATAATAACAACAACAATTTTAGTAAAAGTAACTTTCTCACCCTTTAATATGTGTTTGTGTGAATTGTTTCAAACAGAAGGGATACAGATCTTCAGTGACAACGAGACCTACCCTCGTGCTTTGCTCCACTGGACAAGAGCTGCAGCACAAGGTGAGTCCTTACAAACACTGTCTCTCTTGCTTTTCTCCTCCTCTGTGATTCCATCTACGACTGAGAGATTTCCACAAAAAGAATCATTTAAATTTTACTTCCCAATAAATAAAGTTGATGCATGTTATTGTCTTTCCCAGGTTACACTGTGGCGAGGATAAAACTCGGGGACTATCACTTCTATGGCTACGGGACGGATGTAGACTATGAGACGGCTGTCATCCACTACAGACTCGCATCAGAGCAGCAGCACAGCGCACAGGCCATGTTCAACCTGGGCTACATGCATGAGAAAGGCCTGGGCATCAAACAGGTGAGCATAAAGTTTCACTGGTGACTCTTCAGCATCAGCTCGCTCTCAATATTATATTTATCTGCACTTAGTAATATTGCTTTATAAATTCAGCATATATTTAATGTAGTTGTTGCTCTGGAATCCAAAGATGCACAGACTCATTTGTAATTCAGATTTGTTCCATTTGTTTTCTGCAGGACATTCATTTAGCCAAGCGTTTCTACGATATGGCCGCTGAAGCCAGTCCTGATGCCCAGGTCCCAGTTTTCCTGGCTCTGTGCAAGCTGGGTCTGATTTACACACTTCAGTACCTGCAGGATTTTAACGTAAGTACTCCCTCCTGAAATCTCAAGCTCAGCTGTGACAATTTGGCTTCAAGATAGAGACACTGAACTATAATTTAAGTAAATTAAAAGCTTCTTCATTAGACGTTAGAGAAATTAATCAGATGTGTCTCCTCATCCTCTCCTCGATTGGCTGCGGCTCTTCTCAGCTGAAGGAGCTGATTTCTCAGGTGGACCTGGACCAGCTTCTGGGCCCGGAGTGGGACCTCTACCTTATGACTGTCATCGCCCTGCTCTTGGGCACAGTCATCGCCTACCGACAGCGCCAACACCAAATCATAGTGCCGCCTCGTCCGCCCGCCCCTGCCCCGGCACCCCCTCCCAGGCCACCGCAGGAGCAGCCACAAGCCCAGGCCGACACCCAGGGTCAGGAAGAAACACAAGGCCAGGGCCCGGCCCAGGAGGAAGAGGAGCAGCAGTGAGAGGTTGCCAGACAGAGCGAGGGCAGGAATAGACACACAGAAGCTGTGCCAGGCATGGAGCAGCTGCTGCTAGTTTGAGCACCTCTCCCACTCTGCTCCACTCCACATGCTGAATAAAGACTAAGATCACTGCAGAACCGCTCAGCCTCACAACTCCCTCTCTCCATTTTAAATATGCTGGTCCTGTGCTTAGAGCAAGACAGCAGAGGTGTGTAAGGACAGTGCTGCAGAGAGGATGAATAACACAGACTTGTGGACTTGTTGGTCTGTGACTCAGGTCAGAAGCAGCCGTGTCCTCACTGTTGAAATGGTCCTGCGGTTGCTAGATCGAAGGTGTTTTGGTCGACATAGTTGAAATCTGATATGTGCATTAGTTTCTTTCTTTCTTTTTTTTTTGGAGAAAATTTTACACAGTGAAACTGCTACAATCTTAATTTTGTGCAGAACAAAATATTTCAGTCAGGAGAATGTAAACAAAGATCATTTTATTTGCTAGCCCCAGTCTCATTGCTAACAGAAGTCATGGTTGTGCATGTTTTGCAGACTTTAGGTGTTTTTTTTGTTGTTTTTTTTACATTAATTGAGTGAACAAGTTTTGCATTGTAACTTTGCATTCATTAGTTGTTTTTTTTAATTGACATATCGTCAGGTCAGTACCTGCAGTTCACAGAGAAAGACAGTTTTTATTTTTTCACTGTCAGTGACGGTGCTAAAATGTACTAAAGCCATGTCATGTCACCAGTATACGAACAAGAATTGTGGTAAATAGTTTTCTTTAATTGATAGAAAAGCTGGACTGGATGCTTGTTTGATAAATTGTTTCATTTTAATCAGAGTGTTTGATGTTTTCAACATCTAGAAGGCTGCCACCAAAATCTCTGATGCAGATCCTGTTGGAGAATCTACACAGATGTCTTTCACTCTCCAAATACAGTGAAAGCAGAGTGCTCAGCCTTTTTGGAAATTCATTTAAAGAGCAAATGTGAGAAAAACAGATGTGCACAGTCCAGAGAAGGGAAGCAGAGAGCAGTTTTTTGTCTTCGCTGGTGTGATCTGTTTCCATCAGAACGATGTGATTTGGTTTTTGGAAGAAGGTTCAATCGTTTCCTTCTTCCTTGTAGCTTATTAAGCTGTGTGTTAGCTGAGGCAGAAATTGGAACAGCCTCACAGACATTAGCGCTTTAAACTCTGAGTTGTTGGATTGTTTCCACTTTAGAGGAAGGAGTTTTTTTTTTTTTACCAAACTTCATCTGTTTCCACCCCCTCACATTAGTTCAAGTTGGAGCTCTGCGCTCTGCTCACACTTTGCAGCTCAGATGGAGTCTGAGCCTGAAATGGATAATAAGTGTAGCTTTGGTTCCGTCTGTACTGTGTTTATCCAAACAAGAATAGAAACTTCTAAATTTGCCACATGCAGTTTATTCTCTGAGGTCCATTTGTTCACTTCCACAGTGTGTTGTAAGAATTATTGAGATTTTATTTCCCTGTAGATCTGCGTGAACTGTACAGAGTCAACAAGGACAGTCAAATGTTATTTTCAGGATAAAAAAATGATTCTAAATGGTTCCAATGAAATTGACGTCCCTGCATTCATGCATTGATAACACTCACACAAACAATTTGTCTAAAATGGGAGAAAGTCAGGAGGACTGGATCTTTACCATCAGAAATACTTGAATAAGTTTATATGGAAATTAATAAATTAAATGGATATTTAGTGGTCATCATTGTAATTTTAATTTTCAATTTTGTCCCCACTGTTAAAGCAACACTATATAACTTACTGGGCAACAGCGCCCTCTGCAGCCACACGTGGTGATTAACTGTTGGTAAGTGGTGTTCATGTCGAGAAAAAAACAAAGCCCAACAATGTGTGCAGTCACTGAACTGAAACAACTGAATGGAGGATATTACCCATGATCCTCAGCTTCCTGAACCAGAAGAGCAGCCGCTGTAACAAATGCACCAAACTCTGTTTAGATTCTTGATATTTCAAAGTGTCCTTGCTGAACATTGGAGATTAACGCTGGTTTTAATTAAGTTCTAAGTATTTTTAACTGAGCTACAATTTGGGTTTGCTGGGCCTGACTCTGGTGATTGTACCCACTCACCAAGTAGCTGCTATTTTGCGGTAATACAAAAGATGCTTTAAGGTTTTGCTTTAAAATGTTTACATCAACAGGTATTTGGAGTTCAAACCTTTTTGTACTTGACAAGAGATGATGTTGCCATTAACTCCACGAGTGGTTGTTTCCTAAAGTGCATTAAAACTCACACCTAACTCGAGGTATTGTGCTGCTGCTGCTGACGCTGATCGGACAGTTGCACCATCAGTCACTGGAGCGGCCGGGTGTCACTCAGCTGTGGAGGGTGGGCGAGACAAAGTGACAGGGCTCTAAAAAAAAAAAGTGAGCATCACATTGCAGTCCGTGTGGGCGACCTATTGACTGGCCCATAGAGGTACTATGGAGTGGCTTTGGATCGCCGTGGCAACGTGTGTGCTCGTGCCCCACACTGTCAAAGGTAAGTGCTGGAACAAGCAGAGCACACGTGAGCCTACATTTATTGTTACAGGGAAACTGGGCCCTTTTTCTCACTGTGGATAGATTCAGTTTCAGATAAAGAGGTGGATTAAAATGGACGTAAAGACTGGCTGACAGCCTGTTTCTGTGATGTATATGAAGTATTTGTTGATTCCACACTTTGGAAATAACCCTTCTCTCTAAGGTAACGACTGGTGGTGGGAGTATGAGGAGGGGATACGACACTACAGCAAGGAGGCCCTCAACAAGGTCTGTTTAATCCTGCTTTTATCGCTCGACACCAAAATGGATCATTTGAAATCTTACTCCTATGACATTTTATTCATCGTCTATTTAGGACTCACTACAACCAAAAGGCCTTGATTGACAGATTTATTTCACACCAGGAAAACAGCAAAACAATGTTATGTTGGTAACCTACTTTCAAAATGGATTACAAGTGAGCACAGCACATGCAGCAGCAGCAGGCACCCTGAGTATGTTCAGAACAAGCTCAGTTAACAGATTAAAGACAGGAGAGAGAGAGAGAGAGAGACCAGCGTCAGCAAAGTAAAGATAACACATTCAAACAAGGTTTTCTAAGACGCCCGACGGGTAGAAACAAAGGTCAAGATAGAACTCTGACTGTCAAATACTCAGTACATGAAAATAAAGGATGGAACTGTGGTGGAGGTAGTATTCAAACATTTTAATGAATTAAAATAGACAAAATATACTTAAATGAAGTATGTACTGTTTGTAAATGTACATAAAGTATATGTAAGATACATGAAAAATGTACTCAAGCACAGTAACAAAGTAAATGTGCTATATTACAATATATATTATTGTAAGTTTTCTCTCTCTCTTTATTTCTTCAGGAGTTTCCAGAGAAAACTCGACCAGCGAGCTTCAAGCATCCTGTGTTCAAGTGTCCGGACATGAGTCCTTCTCCCTCTGTGCCCTCCTCAGGTCTGTCTCAGTCGTCCTCACGTCCACGTCAGCAAATCTCATCAATGTGGCACCACTCAATTCTAAAGATCACACTCTCTCCCTTACTCTCTCTCTCTTTCCTTTCCACGCTGTTGTTCAGTTGAATTTGTGAAGGCAGCAGATATCAAAGTCATCGCTGCCTTGGGGGATTCGCTGACAGTATGTGTTATTTGCTGATACAGTTCATAAAAACATATCTGCTGTTTGACTGTTCATTCATCCCTCAGCATCCTCTTTATCGCATCGTCTGTTTTATTTGTATTTCTTAGAAGGTGTGTGTCTCTTTTGCAGACGTCCATAGGCGCCAACGCCACCACTGTCCTCGGGATCCCCATCGAGTTCCGCCACGTGTCGTGGAGGTGACGAATAAAATGTGAACCTCTGTAGACGTCCTACGTGACACCACATCACATGACTGATATTCATGCACCTCAACCTTTCTGTCAATATGTAGTTTTGTTTCATGAAACTGTTGCACATAGGGTTTTCTCTATACATCAGACTGTACACTAAGTATTGAATATCAACAAACGTTAACATGTCTTATTCTTGAATTCAATTCTCTTCTTCTCTTCTGCCTGCTACAGTATCGGTGGCTACGGCTCATTTAAAGATGTCATTACTTTGGCAAGTAAGATGTTTTAATCACAGCAGACGTCTCTCAACATTTTCCACTCAGTCGACCAAAGATGAAGCATCTGTTTTATTAAACGTATTTATTTTCCTTATCGTGTGTTTGTAGATATCATCAAGCTGTTTAATCCCAACCTGGTGGGCGCAGCTCCCGGCAAGACGGTTCATGGGATGCAGGCTCATATCAGTGAAACAGGCTTCAACCTGGCTGTGACTGGACACAACACTTTGTAAGACCCTGTTTTCAACCTGCAGTGATCAGGAGCTCATGAAATCCTTCATGTTTGTTCAGAGGGATCCATCCACTTATCAGAACATGACCTGAAACACGTCATATCACAACCTTTACCCTGATTGTTGCTGTGTTTGGGCTTCAGGCTGCTTCTACCAGGAAGTGATGACTTGTGCAAAAGTGTGTGAACTTCCTGTTTGATTTATCAGTGAAGCTCACGAGGGTTCTGCTTCTGTTTCCTTGCAGTAACCTCCCCGGCCAGACGAGACATTTGATTGACACGCTGAGAGGATATGAGGTAATGCTCCTGTAGCTGTATTGAGATGTAAGATAGAACATTTATTTAGTTACCCTACTTAAATACATTTATCATATATCTGTTCTTTACTTAGAACAGTAGATTACATTTTTACTCCTGTACATATCACCAAATAACTGTAATTTCTGCTCTACTCATTTTTTTAAACGTAACCAATAACAAGAGGGGGAGTGGTTCATTGATCCAATCAGAGGAGGCAGATAATATTAGAGCCCGCCTCTTGCTGCAGCAGCATCACTGGTAAAGAATCTGGAATCTAAAGACCAATGAGACGCAGCCATTAGATTTAACATGGCTGTATTTAAGATAGATGACAGTCTGTACTATTAAGAAAAAATATAATGTATATATATATATATGTGTGTGTGTGTATATGTATCTATCTTTTGTATTTAGTATATATACATGTATTGTCGGTTGCATTAGGGAATAGACTACACTTGCACTCCATACTTTACTTATAATACTTAAAGTATATTTAAAAGCAAATGCCTACTTACGTTTACTCAAATAGAACATTTAATGTGGTACTTTTACATTTAATCTGAAATAGTCTCCAACTGGTCGTTCCCTGGACCTGTCTTATTTTGCTGTCTCATCCTTCAGGGTCTGAACTTTGAGGAGGACTGGAAGCTTCTGACCATTCTCATGGGCATGAATGACATTTGTGATTATTGCAAAGATAAGGTCTGTCTCCGTCTCCTTCATCAGTGAGGTCAGTTCAGTAAAAGAGTTTTAATTAACCTCTGCAGGGTTTCTCTCCAGGCTCTTTTCTCCGTGGATAATTTCATTCACTATATAACCGTCTCCTTGGAGATGCTGATGAATGAGGTAAGAAAAGAGATCGATAAAACGAGGCATATTTGGATAGATTTTTTTTAAATTCATGTACATTCGTGTGCCTTTCCTTCTTTCAGGTTCCTCGTATGATCGTCAACGTTGCTCAGATCCTGCCCATGCAAACTCTGAGGGAGGTGCAGAAACCCACCCCGGGGTGTCTGCTCCAACGGTGAGTCCATCTTTCTTAACGTGAACATTTAGAACCATGACATTACATTCAGGAGCCAATCAGGGTCCAGTATGTACCTGAAACCTCCAAACACAATCACCAAGAATGTGTTTTTAGTTTAAGTTTTAAAAGAAAAATGGGGAAAATAAGTTTTTTGATGAAGAGGAATTATATATATTGTCATGAATTTTTAATAAGTTAAAATAGATAAATTGGACATAAATTATTAGTGCAGCCTGGGAATGAAACATGTCTGGTGGGGGGTTTTAAAGTTTGCAGTAGATTAATCTACTACTACTTTTTAATATCCTATGTTATACGTTAACATAGATGGATGATATCAATTCTAACCTTAATTTCTTTACATTTCTGCTTCTCTTTGTTTTGGACTGTGATTCAGGTCGTTCTGTTCGTGCCTGATAGAGCCAGAAGCCGGGTCTCCAGAACTACGGGAGCTGGTGGAGGTCAACCTGGAGTTCCAGGTACAACCCCCCCCCCCCACATTTATTCAATCCACTCCCTTAAACATGCCACATTTTTTTAAATGAATTTTTTTCTGAGAAATCACAGAAAAGGTTGAAAAGAGAAAAAAACCTTACTAGACTTTCCTGCTCATCCAGAAACAAACCAAAATACAATGGACCCTTTCCTGACCCATACTACATCCATCCACCAATTCTCCTGGTCATCCGTCCAGTTGTTATCTTGCTTACAGACAAACAAACCAACCAACAAACAAACGGACAGGGCTGAAAACATAATCTCCTTGGTGGAGGTAATAATCTGATTGTCATGTTTCTTTTCCTTCAGAAAAGACTGGAGGAGCTGCTGCACAGCGACCGCTTCTTCAGGGACAACTTTGCCGTCGTTCTTCAGCCTTTTCTCAAACACGCTGACCCTCCTCGCCTCCCGGTAAACTCTCCTCAGATCCCACGACAATATGAACGCAGCATGAGTGTGCGTGCTCTCAGGAGATTAATGGGTGTGAAACATGACACAGTTGATGACTAAGGATCCAGAGTGTGACAGGCTGTGGCTTTTTAGCTCTGTTAGCACGAGACTGAAAATGAAAAGTCACGTTTCATCACCATATCTCTCTCTACTCTCCTCTCCTCTCCTCTCAGTAAACCTACACTAATGTGTGTTTGTTCTCCTAACAGAGCGGGAAGATCGACATGACCTTCTTCACTCACGACTGCTTCCACTTCACCATAAAGGGACACGAGGAGCTGGCCAAGGGACTGTGGAACAACATGGTGAACAACTGCTTTGTGTTTTTCTGAATGGCAAGAGCTCTTAAGGTCAACAATCGGCCCGCTGCCTCTCAGATAATGAGGATTTACTGTGAAGAAACGCCATCAAGGGATTGAAATTGAATGACTTAAGAGAATATATGCAGAGTAGATCAGTATGATAAAATCAAGGGCACATTTTTTTAATTAAAGAACAAAAGTAAAACCTTTGCTTTCTCAGTATAGTTCACTGTTTCCTCTGTCTCACTCTGTTGACAGTTTCAGCCTGAAGGAGGAAAGATGATTGTGAACAGTTTCTCTGACCCCATCACGCTCATCTGTCCACCGATGGTAAGTGTTAGTTTCACTGCAACAGTCCAGCATGTGTGTCTTCAACCTGACCAACAAGAGACAATATGGTGTAATGTAGGTAGGTTGGAGTAGTTAGGATGGATGGATGGATGGATGGATGGATGGATGGATGGATGGATGGATGGATGGATGGATGGATGGATGGATGGATGGATGGATGGATAGGCAGGCAGGTAGATGGATGGATAGGCAGGTAGATGGATGGATGGATGGATGGATAGATAGGCAGGTGGATAGATGGATGGATGACTAGGCAGGTAGATGGATGGATGGATGGATGGATGGATGAATGGATGGATAGGCAGGTAGATGGATGGATGGATGGATGGGCAGGTAGATGGATGGATGAATGGATATCAATACTTTATTGACCCTGAAGGAACTTTAGGTAAAAAGAATTCCATCTTGCTCATAACATCTAACACATCTAAAGGTTGAAATCAAAGTAAGAAAACAGACTTCTAACACAGAGCGGCCGGAAAGGTTGGAAACAGGAAAATTAAATGAATAAATATAAATAATTGAAATATAAGTCTACAAGCTGATTGTTATGAAATCAATAAAAACCTGGTGGCTTTCTTTGTGATTGTAAATCAATGTCAAATCTATTGACGACCTGAGTATTTATCGCTTGTCATCTTCTCTGTGTCTGTAGGACCACCCATACATCTACACTCGACCCATCGCAGCCAGGTCAGACCAGCCTCCTCTCCGGTCCGACGCTCCATCAAAAGCAGCCATCTTGCTGCTCTCGCTTTTTGTTGGACGTCTCGGCCTCGTGTAGCCTTCACTTTGCCGAGCTACTTTTACCAGCGCGTCTCTGCTGTACCGTCGAGGTGATCCCCCTCAGTGGATCACCTGCGAAGAGGAGAGAGCTACTCTGTGAAACTCTGCATGTCTGTGGGCCCGAACACCAGAACAGAGAAGTGACTGCAGTTTGGAGATCTGTAATGTGAATCATGCAACGTAAATATTTAATATTTAGAGGCAGTTAGAGTGGGAGGTGGTGAAGAGTTTTACTCGTTGTTGTTGGTGAGCAGCTCTCTGGAGAAAGTTTTCTATTCCTGCTTTTAAATTTTCATTTATCACGACTACACCAAATGGCTCATCAGCTCACACACTTTAAATTATAATGATTTACTGTTGGTGTATTTTTAAGATGGTAAACTGGTATGGGTTTAAGAAAAAGGGCACTCATAGGATGCAAACCTCCACCAAGGCCTAAAAGTCCCCTCATGACCACATTCACCAGATCCAGATTTTTATTTGGATTTTTATTTAAAAATGAGTCCCCTAAAAGGTTTTTTTTCATCAAAATCAATTAATTGTTACAATATTGATAAACGCCCTATCTATATATATATCTATATATATATCTATATATATATAGATATATATATAAAAAAAGTAACTTCCTTGATCCTCCCCCAAATCCAGATCCACACCCAGATTGAATGGGTTCTTCCTGCTCATTATCTTGCTCACAAACCAAATTGAAGGAATTTGAGCCTCTCAAGAATTTCATATCTCATCACCACCGTCTTGAATACCTCTGATTCCTTCAATTTGTCTCAACTTTTTGCAAACATAACCTCCTTGGTGGAGGTAAATATACTTGATATAAATTTGCAGATGTTGTAAAAAGTTATATTTGAATTGTTCATGTGACATTTATACATTCACATGTAAAATATTAAACTAATTAGACTTTGCCCAAAAGTGAAGTGAATGTCTGTTTAATCTATGAAAGTGTTTTCTTGTCTCAGTACCTGGACACAGTCCTGAAGCCCTCAGGCTTTCACTTCCTCACATTAAGTTTGGTGATGTTGCCAAAATACATTATGTGCAATCTTTCTGTTGCACTGACAATGAAAAGACAAAAATGACAAATTACATCAATCACCACATTAAAATGCATTAACCTGGGAGGCTGACTGAGCTCACCTCATTTACTGGAACATGTCCACACACACACACACACACACACACACACACACACGTGATCGGCTCCAGCCGTGTAATGTAAACATGTAAAAAGAATTTTGTCGTCTGTAGATTTTTCGCAGAAAGCTGTGACTTTTCAAACCGCAGACAGTTTAGTCACGCGTCTGTTCCTCAGATCTTCAGGCTGCTGCTGGCCCACTTTCACTCCTCAGTCCTGCAGGACCAGCATTATTATGCAGCAAGCACAGGACGAGGCTCAGTGCCCCCCCACAGGCAGAAAACCCAACACAAAAAACCCACTAAATACTGTGCATACCACTGAAGGAAGAGCAGCCGAGTCATTACAGTGGATTTGCATTAGTAGCTGTGATATATGATCATCGTTTCTATTCATCTGGTTAAACAGACTGAACAGTACATCACATGTTGACTGTTTGATTAGTCTAACTACATGGACAGGTGGAAGCTATATTCAGCTCATCTCCAGCTACTGTGCTTCTCTTTCGTATTGTTAATTCAGCTCTTAAATGGAGAATAAAAGCCGGTGTTTACGGAGCGGGGCAGGGTGGTAAACATGTCTAATGCAGGTAAAACCTTTATGGCACTGACTTTGAATGGGAGAGGCCCCTTTTAATGTGTTTATTCAGTAAAATATTCCCAGGGGTAAGGAAAAACAGATTTATATTTTTAATATTTATATCATCCAGGAAGTATTTTATTTAACCCTTCACTTAAGGGTGATAACATGTATTTCCTGTCCCCATTTTCGACGACCTCTCTCAGTCCTCATTGCTGTCGGATTTCATAATGACCATGTTACTACATTCAAAGAAAAACCCTCTTCATGTTTGAACAAAGCCGTTGCCGGTTTATGTGGAGCAAATATGGATCCGGCTCTGACGCATATTGGCCTTTATTGTCTCTCTGAAAGCATAATGAGATTTTTGGGTTCTTGGTAAACGGTGCAGCAGGAAATTTGAAACAACAAAGAGTGTGGCCCACACCTTGGAAACCCCTTTGTGTTGTCGTTGTGTTTTTTGATGAATGTGTCAGTAGCAACTGAAAAGAGAAAAATGACCTCATGAGCGCATGTACATTTGAGTCATGGCACTTATGAAAGAGAACAAACAGTTGAAGGATGTTCCATAAGTTGGTTGTACTCACGATAATGAGTTTTTTCCTCGTAAAGACCTTTATGGGATGGTTTTGCAGAACATGCATCTCATCAGCACTGTATTTGTTTAGTTTTAATACACTGAGTTACCCTCTATGGTGAGATAACAAAGCATGGTAATGTGACACAGAATGATGAAATAAAGCAGCTTGTGCTCCGTCAGGATGTTTACCACAAAGAAATGATCACGTTATTAAGATCCTGGTTTGAATCCCAGTTTAGGCCAGGTCTATCTGCATGGAGTTTGCATGTTCTCTGTGTCTGTGTGGGTTTTCTCCCGGTTCTCCGGTCTTTGTCCCACAGTCCAAAGACATGCAGTTTGGGGATGAGGATGATAGGAGATTTTAAATTGATCATAGGTCCGAATGGGAGTGTGAATGATTGTTTGAGATGCTGGCGACCTGTCCAGGGTGCACCTTGCCATTCAAACTGTGTCAGCTGGGATTAGCTCCAGCTTCCCCTGTGACCCTTTAAAGGACAAGTGGAATAGGTGATGGATGGATGGATGGATGGATGGATGGATGGATGGATGGATGGATGGATGGATAAACAAACCCATTTCCAAGATGTTCATTCATGTCATGTCACAGGTGCTGGTGGACTCTAAGAGATGCAGATCACAGCTAATGCGTGAGCCTAAAATGATCTTTTTCAATGGTGCCGAAATCCTAATAACTCTTGCACAAATTAAAATTAATAATCATCTGATGATCCATTAAGAGTAATCACACAAATTCATTTAACCAGCATTTATATTCATTTATTCACATCTATTGTACACTCCATGTCATGTAACAGCCACCCTTTAAAATGTGTGCTTCTCTTTTGTCTGCTGATAAGGAGGGTAAATGTCCTGGCTTATTAAATGTGAAAAATATCTTCTCCTTTTTTTTTTTTCTTTTTCTTTTTTTTAACTCCTATTCAGTTCACCTGCTCACATGATCAAAGTGGGCGCTGCAACAACAATGACGGCAGTAATTTTCAATAAACCATCACCTAGCAACGCATTCAGGTCGTCAAGAGACAAGATCAGCAAATACAGTAGGATGATGCAGCTTTGTCCTGCAGAAGATGATGTGATGGAGACACGGTGGGATGCGTGTGCTTTCATTCACAAACGCTGCCTGTTTATAAAAACATGTTACAGTCATTTGGATGCAGTTTTGTGTACAAATAGCTCATCAAGTAATTTCACAAAGGAAATCCCCCCACTCCGAGACCTTCTAGATATAAATAAAGAGCTACAGATGAATAGATAGAGAATTAAGAAAATAACTAATAAGACGTAAAGACCATTAAAATAAATTATTATTTTGTAATATTTATATTTTATTGTTTTGACGTTGTTCTCTCATATGTTTTGTTTTATTACATTGTCAAGCATGATCTGGCTTCTCTATGATTTGTCAAACTTTGGACTGAACGTATTTTTCTGTCAAGTTCCCTCTAACTGGTTATAAGTTTATAATTATAATTATTAATATTGTGATGGTTATCATTGTGACGATCCTGATGATGGTATTAGTAGTAGTAGTAGTAGTTTAAGCTAGTGCCAAAACGTCAATTTATTATTTATTAATATAATAAAATGTCGTCATTTACTCTACAGGAGCCAGTTGACTTCCGTGGTATGAACCTGTCCACGCCCTGACAACCACTGAGGTATGATCAGGTACACAGTGGTAATAGTTTGTCCCAGGATGATGTCACTTCCTCTCCCCGCTTCGTCCTATAAAACCGTGCTCCGTCGCGGTGAGGTGTCGGTGGAGAGACCGGAGAGGAGAGGACGGAGGCGCCGCGGGTCACCGACGCAGCTGGAGATTTTCAGCTCTCCAGAAATACCGAAAGGCGGCCAAGTTTAGTTCAGAATGCGTCCTTAAATCCTCCGGACTTAAAACCCCGAACAAACGAACCTTCTGAAATAAAGCTCCGCTGTTTTTCTATTCCTGGAGAGCCTCATTGTTTCCAAACATGATCGGGAGAGGACTGTTCATTCTGACAACACTGTCCACCTGCGGTAAGAAACAACAGGAAACCCTGACTGAAGTTAATTGGTGCTTAGGTTTGTTTGGAGAAATGTGCGTAAATTGTGCGTAAATGTGCGTAAAGGGATGTGACAGGCTGGCGTTCAGCACCAAGGACAGCGACAGACACATCTGTAACTGCAGAGAGAGAGAGACGCAGGGAATTCACATCAGGCACATTTAGTCCCTGTCACTGAAACACACAGTGCTTTCATAATCACACTGTCACTGAGATAACTAACTAACTAACACGACACATTACAGCTATAGTGTTTTGTTAAAATGACAAATAATGATACATGTTTCCTTGTCTTTGTTTTTCTTACAGTTCTTTCATTGCCAGTGACTTCTAGTCAGCTGGAGAATGAGGACGTAAAGGTAACAATCATTTTTTATTAAAATTATGTAATGTATTTATAATGATCATTACAGTACTGTAGTAGAAGGAGCATTATACAGCCCCATGGTAATAATATATGTAGCCCTAAAGTTCTATCAAATCTATACGGCAATAACAATAAATTATATGCATATGATAAAATGTACTGTATACATTATATACATTGCTTCATGACAGTGTAGAGTGTGCTTTGCTGGCCAGCCACACTCTGAAGTGGCAGCAGTGATTAGAAATGACTTGGCCCAAGCAGTTCAACTTGTTTCATTACCTCCTCCACTGGGAGCTGTCTCAGTATATGACCTTGTTCAAATCAATAGATACCATTTGAGAGCAATAGAGAGCCTTGACCTTCCTGGTTTGGTATGTTGCTGGATCCAGGATGGATGAGAGAGGGAGAGAGAGTAATCTAGTTTGTGTTACTTCTTTGGAATATTTTCCAGTGTCTTGTCAGGAACAGTAGCCCTCATTGGTCCTAATGAGGCCAAACATCATTTCTAAGGTATTACTGTAACGTGAACTGGGGTTAGGCTGTCCACAATGAATGTAATTTCCCAATAGGATATATATAAAACGTGTGTAAAAGAGAGAGAGAAAGACAGAGAGTAGTTTCTAGAATCAGGTTTTTGAGAGATGAGGATACAAAGGGAAGA